AAGTAAATATTGCAAGAAATACAATAGTGCCTGCTGGCAGGATCACAGAAGTATATCTCTAGTGCTGTTTTGACAAAATGTCAAAATCTTCGCTTGAAAAACAAATTTAATATTTGTATATTCAGAATTAAGAGCATGCTATTATAAACTTGACAGAAGCTCTCAACAGTCTGTTAAAAATAGTGGCAAAAATGACTATTTATTTCAAAGCCTGGTTGAGGTTTTGATTTAGGATTGCATATTTAAAATAATGACAAAATATCATATATAACAGTATTTATAAACTATTTATGACCACAACTGACAGTGGTCCAGATTTTTGTGCTCCAACGTTCTTTATTGAAGAAAAAAGATGAAGCAATGCATAATGGGCTAGTAGTACCTGAATCCTTTCTAGTTATTACTTGCTTACTCATTAGTTCAGTTTTCAAACAATTTTAAATCATTGTTACTTTTAATCCCACCAAAACCAAAGATAAGCATCTCAGGAGAACAACCAGTACTGCACTTTGCCATTCATCATTGCATCCAATTTAATTTCTGTTTCTACAGAATTTTCTGTGATTTTCCTTCCTTGTATAATGTATCCTCTAGATTTATTCTTCATTTATATTTATGAAAAAGAACAAACATTAGAATACCAGAAATGTACTGCAAATATAGCTGCATTTCTTTCCATATAAGAAAGAAAAGTTGTCTACATAAACTATTTTCCCTCTTCCATTTTTCTGTCTCTAATTTATTGTTATGAAACACGATAAGAAGAAACTGTAAAAGTGGCTTTCCCTTTTGCAATACTAAAGATGATGTAGTACTCAAGGAAAAAGAAGTTTAGTCTTTGAGAGCAAAATAGTGGCCCATGGCTGAGACCAAGTTTTGCTGACTGGCACAGCCTTTGTGAGGTTTTTAAACTGCATTGTGAAGTATGTGAGTAATATGAAAAAAAACCCCAAACCTTCCAGTAATATATTAAACACACTTATTACAGAAACCAAGAAAAATGAAAGAGATTGAATCTCAAGAACAATGCAAGCCTCTCTTGTGAGAAACACTGTTTAATAAATTATAAATACATCATTACAGAGCATAAATTCAGCCTTCCTGACTGGATGAAAAAAAAATTGCACAAATCAAGAACTTTTTATTACCAGTTGTGATGACGGAGTTGAAATATTGCAAGAAAAAACGATTATGTCTGTAGCAAAGGTAGTTTTTTCTATATTAACTCCTAGAAATAATGTTATGAATGTTGCACTAAGAATTTTTGAGGATCAGGGTAGGCAAAGTGGATGGGGGCATAACTCCATCTCTCCAGGGTAAGTTTCAACATTGGCAAACAGCTGGAAACTAAGTAAGAAAGCATAAAAAGGACAGACATCCACACAGCACTAATTTATCCCCAGTCTCCAGTGATCTTGTGCATCAAGAATTTCTTGTTGTCTCTGTAAATTTAATATTTGAGCTTGTCGAAGTTATGCTTGAACTGGCATAAACTTTTTGCATCCACAACATCCTGCAGCAAAGAGCCACACAGCTTAGCTACATGCAACATAAAGAAATACTGCTTTTGTTCGCTCTCAACCTATTTAAATGAATTTAAATATTGGAAGGGAGAACAAATATTTGCTCCTTTATCTACTACTATTCTCTTTTATAATTTTGATTCTTATTACTTCTCTTACACACTACAGCTTAGACAAAAAAATCAGCAACTTTCTGATTACATCACTAAGAAAAATACAGGCTTTTGTTCACAAGAAAATAACATTAATTTGTATATCTGATTTATGGATACAAAGACTATAAACATATGGGCAATGAATTATTTTATCCTGACTATGGTACAAGAAAGTTTCAAATCCTGAAAGCAAAGAGAAAGAAGAAACACTGAGCATGGAAAATCTCAGGTTTTTCTGCAAGAATCTCTGCATGTTCTGGATTGCATGGCAAAAACTTTCAAATTTAACTAGTAGCTGAGGAAAATCATAAAAGGATTATTTTATATTTGGACAAGGAATGAAACATATTTCAAGTGAAATTATCTGAGATTTCTGAGTCGGCAAAACTCTACTAAAAATGTCACAAGGGCACATAATTACTTTCTCCCTTTCACATTTTTCTTAGCAGACTCTTCTGTTTCACTTATTGGCCCAAATTCATAGAAACCACCTATGTCTGTCAAATTATTTTGGTGCCTCTGTAAAGTCTGAAGGCTGTTCTGTGCTTGTCCTGGCATAGTTCATAACCACACAGATTACATGGGTTTTTTTAATATAGAAGATGTCTAAGGATAGACAGCTGCAATTCAGCAGCTGGAGCCCATCCTACAAAATGTGATGGCTCTGCACTGCTCCCCACCATCTCTCATATGAAGCATTCCAGTTGTGGTAAAGAATCAGCAGCCTAACTTAAGCAGATGTGGCAAAACAGCCGCAGAAATTTTACTAACTGTAACAGAAATTTGTTTATTTTGCTCTTTTGTTCTGTGTTTTGGACTCAGCTATGAATTTCTTCTGTTGAATATGCCTTCCACTTGTCCCCACTCCACCAGCATTCCCTTCCTACATGTTGATCCCTCTTTTCTCTGGGCCCAGCCTTGCTTTGTCCTCCAAGGAGATTGTGTATGAGCTCAACGGAAGGTTAGCTACAAACCTCAACAAGAAAAAAAGTACAGCCATTTACACTGTCCAAGGAGAAATGGCAAGCACAGCACTGGATTCACTGATGGTTCCTTCCTTCCTTTCTACTAGCATTGAAGGTGAGGCAGCAGAAGTTCCTTGCCTAATTTCTCCTTAGAAATCAGCACTGGCACTTCAGCCACTTTAAACTGCTTTCATTCCAGTGCAGAGGCTGTGGCATCAGTTGTTCAATTGAACTCCAGTTGGAAGTGTTCACCTCTCTCCAGGCAATACAGAAGGAGCCTAAATGGGCTTGATCCTAACCTAACTGCATAAAGAAAAAAACTGCAAAAAGAAAAATGGAGAAATTTGGCCCTATACCTTCTGCTGATTGCAGCCACATTGATGGAGATGACTTTCATCAGCTCCTTCTAATAGAGTGGTCTTGGAGACCAGGTACTTTCCTACATGTGCCCCTGCCTCTGGTGGAGGCAGCCAGCCCATGATAACCCCATAGCTACATTAGGAGTTGTTATTTGCAAACTGCTGGAAGGAACTTTTTCAGAACTGTTAAATCAGTAACAATAATATCTTGGGAAAAGAAACTGAAGTCCCAGCAATGTCAGAGGAGGTGTGCACACATCTGAGACAGGGCTAAGCAAGCAGTGGTAGGGCATCCATGGATACAGCTTTCAATACATGAAAGCTTATATTTTCAATACATATACAACTTTCAATACATGAAATAACAAATTAGAAGAAGGATTAGGTGCAGAACTCATCCACAAGAAAGCTCACCAAATTCTTTCAAAGTTTTAGACAAAACTGTCATAACAAGAATATGGAAGATGTGAGGGAGAAAATAAAGACTTCTTAAAAAGGAACTGAGAAAAGTTCTGTTCAGGCTTATAAAGCATAGAAAACTATTTATATAGGAGGACAGTCTTTAAGTCACTAAGTTTGAGTGTGGGAAAAATATACCTCCTCTCTTCATATGCACATTTACTGTAGGTTTTAGGAAGTAAATACAATAGTAAAGATCAATGACTTTAGAGAAATACATGCAAAGACTTTGCAGAAGATCGTGACACAGATGATACAATGATTCAATTTTAGTATCTTGATAACAGCTAAAACTTGATCACCATAGGGTTTTGGGCTAAGAGGAACTTAACTGCTTCCAACTTAAAAAGAAAAGCAAACAAAATCATAAGAAAACAAAAGCAAAATATTTTTTAAAAGTGAAAAGCAGGATAATTTTGCAGACATCAATATGCATCCATATCTAAATGCCACAGACCCCAATAAGCACTCATATATTTAGAAAGATTCCTTTCTCCAATACAGTGCACACACATGACCTCATGTATATAAATGCACATGCCAGCTGTATTTTCTTCCCTACTTGCAGCACATGTCTCAAAAAAGACAGCACTGCATAACATTTTCTCCAGGTGCACACTCATGCAGAAAAGCAACAGAGGCCTAGCAAATTATAGTAAAATTTAGCATTGCACATAGAAGATCAGTCCCATCAAGTGCTACAAGTGAACTAAAATCAACATCATCCCAAAGAAGTCCAAAACAGAACCACCTGATACCACTGCCAAATCATAACTGCTTCTTCCTGCATTACTAAGAAACACATCTGCAACCTGGGACTTTCTCTCTGACAGACTTCGTACTTCTGCCATCTACTAATGACTGACATGCTTCATCTGTTAAAAAGATGGATTTTAGCTTTTTTTTTTTTTTAATAATGAGAAAAGTATTTTTCACCCCTCATTTCCAAAAACAGCTGGAGCAGTTTGGTATAAATGTTCAAAAAATATCTCAACTAGTAAAGGACTGCCAAATTCCACGAAGAAAGGTAAAATGACTGGGAAAAAGAATAAGCCACTGAAAATCTTTTCTTAAAATGGAAACACCTGTGCAATTTCAACTCTCCATTGCAAGCATTATTATGCCCTCTGAAATAAAGAACTCAAAAGGTTCTTTCAAGTAGACAGTTGGGTTATGGTTTGAAGGCCTCCTGATTTCAGTTTTATTTAAGAAAAATCAAAGGGGTTTATCTTAATGAATATAGAGCTTAAAAGCCCCAGGTTCTTGTTTACTGTAAAGACTTATACATACCTGCAATTTTTAACACACTTTACAAATAAATACAAATAACTTGTATTCTAGGCAAGCTTTAAAACTGTTACTGATCCTCTTTTTTTCTTTAGTCTATTTTCTGATAAAATCTGTCCGAGATATGCCACAGGCTCAGGATTAAGAAATAATAATAAAAAAAATCAACAACTACACAAAAAAAATCCAATTCAATCCCCTTTCAACTTACAAAAATGTTCCTCATAGGGACCATAAAATCCATGTAATTACCTGCTGCAGGATCTGTAACTGCTTGACTGGTGATGCCAGATGGTGGTTCTTGAAGCTGGTATGTTGCATTTGTGGAGGGTGTCGTAGGGCTGGTGTTGCTGTTTGTCATGTAATGTGAAGGGTATGGTGAGCTATTATAATACTGTGCATATTGGCCCTGGCCAAAACTGGGATAAGAGGGATATTCCTGCAAGACAAAAAACCAACTGAGCAGTCCATCAAAGTTTTGTTACTTTTTAGTATAAATTCCAAAATATAGCTACAAACACATGTCAGACTTTGAGCACGTATGCTTCCTGTACTGGATGCTGTAGGACCTAAAACTGTGAGGCAGTAAAGCAAAATCTAAATTACACATAATTTATTATGTCTTCTCATACAAGCAGTTTATTAGACACACTGCTGAAGATGTGTGAATAAGAACATCAACCTCTGACAATTAGTTCTAAGATGACAGATTGAAGAAAAACATTTATAGACTTTACTTTAACTTGAAAGATGACAATTTCTTTCAACAAGCTATTTAAGAGCTACATTTTTTCAGTGGAAGAGAATTCTAAGTTTGCCAAAGTTTGCTGAACTCCTATTTACAAATTTACCTGCTGTGAACTATTAAATCCAGTAGAATTTGTGAGTGAATTATTTCCTGCATATATTCCTGATGATGTTGTAAAACTGCTGCCTGAAATGAAAGGGAAAATGATGTGAATTACTAAAACAAACTATTGGAAAATAACTTCTATCACACAATTATATCATAACATTATGGCATATTTGTAATATTTCCCATATGTTGACCAATTCAGCTCTGTAACATGTTAATACTTAGAAAGTGATAATTCATAGTTCTTACACTCTGTGTTTCATTATTACAATAAAAAAATCCCCTTGAAATTTAGACTGGAATTCTGGACAGACCTCAGGTCTGATTGAAAATTCGGCTATTGCACCTCTGAATAACACCCAGCACTGTGGAAGTAAAGAGGGGTTTTTTTTGTTTGGTTTTTTTTGTTTGTTTGTTTGTTTTTTTTTTTGTTTGTTTTTTTTGTTTTTTTTGTTTGTTTTTTTGTTTTTTTTTTTTTTTTTTGTTTTTTTTTGTTGAACAGTGGAGGCAAGCCTTGTCCCGAGAGACACCATCCCCCCTTACGAAATCCCGGTGGATCTGTTTCTCCTGCCGCCTTTGAGAACTGTGTCCTTTCCCCTCCCTGAGCCTCAACCCCTCACAGGAGCAGCAAAAGCTGTAACTCCCTGCTTCAAACAGCTCAGTCCGACTGCAAAGCCATTAGGACTCACTAATCGATCAGAGACAGCCTTGGGCTGCAAACCCTTCCTCTTTTGACAGAGTGTACTGGGCATGACACAAGAGGGAAAAGAGTACCTCTCTGAAAAGGGAGACCCGAGACGGAATTTAGCCCAGAGACTGAATTACTGCCTTCATCTCCCTCCTCCAGCTTTCACAAGCCACCAAAAATAGACAGATGGGGCTCTCGTTTAATACCCAACCTGAGAAGCTGTTCCACTAAAAGGGCAACAGCCCCCTTTCAGCTGTCTTGCCCTCGCTGGCTGTAACCCAGGAGTGACACAGCCACCAGCTGAGACATATGGATGCACAGGGTGAAGCTGCATAAGCCACCACAAAGTCTGTAATGAGGCAACCTATTGAACTCATCCAGCAGGAGAGCACCAGTCAGCACAGGGTATTAAAGTGCACAGGTTGTTTACAGCCTCCCTCACCACCAAAATCTGCCCCAGTGCAAAGATATACAGAGACCTTGGGAGTAAGACTTGCAGGTGAGCAAAGGAGACAAGGAGGGATGAAAACAGGGAGTCAGGCATACAGATGCACCAGTCCTCTGATGTACCCAACACAACTCAATTAACAACCAAATCCAAAAAGAGGTTACTCATTGGGAGAAGCAACATTTCTTGCAGATCCAAAGAGGACAGAATGCAGGCAGGGGTCCATACTTACTACAACCCCTGAAGGACATCTGTGAGCTATTTGCTTTTCTTAAACAAAAAGCCACCAGACCCACATGTATCGTAGCTATGAGAAGTCAGAAGGAAAAATATTTAAATGTTTTGACTTCAAAAGTTACTAAAATCACATACAAGTTAAGTCTCAAAGAAGTAGATGAGAAGTCCAACAGCAGTGGGAGTAAAGGATGAAGCTTAATGTATGAAATTACTATAAACATTTATCTTCTATCTTCTATTAGTGCAAAATCTCTGATTGTTGATAGATGCTACTAATCCTGTGAACTAAAATCAGATTACTTCAGCAGAAGAGTTGACATCCAAGTTTAGCAGATAGTACAGATAAACAGTACTAATGAGAAAAACATGTTTTAAATTTAATTTAAAATTGGAAAACAGATGTTATTTTTTTTTTTCTTATTGTGACAAACACGAAAGCCAAAATACATCTGAAAAATATTTCAAACTGCAAAACTTTGAAATAACATTTCATTTCTAATAATGCTCTGGCTGGAAAAATATAAGTCACTGTGTCTCTTCTTATTTCTGTGGGGTTTTTTGAAGATGCAGTAATACATTCAAATCCAGGTTTTAAAGGTGCACAGTTTGAGCCACTCTAAAGAGATATAAAAGGCCTCTCATAGTTATAAGTAAAAAAAACCCAGACTTTGTTTGAGGAACACATTATCTTTCCTCAGAAAGTCTGGAAAATAATTTGCAAGAGCAAATGAGAAAAGTAATTACATGCCAGCCAGCATCTCTCCCTCCCAGACAAAGACACACACACACACTAACATGCAGATCTCTCTTTCATCTCATGGTCAGCACTGGCTTCTATGGAGGAGGGGTAAGGGTCTCCTAGACCGTAACAAACATGAAGCAGGTTTCTCAGAAACAGCTCTGTGGGCCACCCAGAACTACAGGCCTTAAGTTGTTTTTAAAATACTCATGATTTTTCAAATTGTTTTTTAAATATTCAGCCATAACATGGCATAGAGCCGCTACCCTGCCTTAGCTGAACAAACACAAAAATAAGAATCGCCACAAAACATACAAGATTTACTGCCCTAAGTTGGCTGTCTACATAGCTTTAAAATGTGATAAAAGCTGTAAATTGCAGGTCAAAGGTCTATTTTGCAAAGAGCTCTGACCCACATTAAAGCTGGGAATCCCAGTCAGCGTCGGAAGGCGGCCGGCCCCTGCTGGGAGTAGGGCGCGCTCCAGGTGCGGGGCGCGCCCTGTGCCGCCGCGGGCACGGGATAAGGTCCTCCCCCGTGTATTGGCCACAGAAGCCCATTTGCTTTCCTAGCTCAGTCTCCTTGCCATGGGCTATGTCTATCATCAGGGTACAATGTATGTGGCAGAAGTTTAGTGCAGCTCTCTTGGGAAAGCCTTAGACGGCCAGATGGGCTATTTAAGCTCAAGGTTTCTTCCGTTTGCTTACAGTGTTTAAAAATCCTTGGCAAACTCCCCCTTGTTGTCCTAGTAACTGCTTAGCCATCCAGCACAATATTTTTATACTGTATAATAATAACCAAATACCTTAACGTTTACTTTTTTACGGCTGAATTCCCAAACCAAAGGGATAGTTATTCTCTATCATCACAGCCTCGGTAACTAAAGCAATGCTAGCGCTCATCGCAGGTCTAGCACCCTTCCACCAGTGGTAGGGTCCTCGGGTGAAGGGTACAAGCCATGCTTTTTATCACAATCAAAGGAGACCCAAATAAGATATTTGCAAATGGAGTTCTTTCCTTGCTGTTTCCCCCAGCCCTTCTCCACTTCATTTATCCTCACTGTGCAATCCTTATAAATCTGCCAATATAGGAACAAGGGCCCATTCCCACAGCCATTAGTCATGTAAGTGGTCTTTCAACATCTATGAAGCAACTTATATGAAAAACAGCTTAAGGAAGACACTCGTTAAATAAAGTAAGGGGGAGGGGGGAGTGGGGAGTGGGGAGATGGGTCGCAGAACTGCCTGAGTCCTCTTCTCACCCCCTCCCCTATGCACACTTCCTTATTGAGATTATAAATTTGTGACAAACAAAAATCCAATTACCAGAATAAACTTAGCAAGGAGTCAGTCACAGGCAACAATTCTCCTTACAATTTTCATAAGTTGGCAGCCTCTCGCCCCACTATTGTTCGGTGACTAATGATGCTGTAATTTTAGCAGGGTCAGGAAAAGCACTGGGTTTAATTGGCTGCACACGCACCACGAGGCAGTGTCTCTACATTGCAGGCAGACATTCATCCCAGGGAGAGGAACCAGAATTAACTCCAAAGCTTTGGAGCACGAGGTAACCCCAGTCAGGGAACATGAGCAGGACAACTGCAAGGCCGCTAGGAAATCCCCTTTGCCGCAGGCAGGAATGCCAGCAGGGCCCCGAGCCGCTGTCATGTAACGCTCGGCTGCGGAGTAGGTTGTGGGATCCATTATCTCCATTTAGCAGCTCAGCAGCTGCACGCAGGAGATGAAGAACAGTTATTGCAGGCTATGACAAGGCTGAGGCTGCAGCCTGCTAGAGGGAAAAGGGAGAATAAACTCATTTTCCTCTCTGGAGGTTTCTGCACAAACAACTGAACAGCAGCAGCAGTAATCCCATCTTCTGTCATGAGAATCAATTTTGTCCTTAAATAATAGTTGAAATTATGAATAGGTTCTCTTTCCAAAATTAAATCAGGGAAGAGAAACAAATGTTCCTGTTTACTTTTAACAGCTGTCCAATCAAAAGGAAGAATTAGAGTTGTTTCAAATACACAAGTTTACTTAATGAAAATATTACAAAGACATATATTCTCATGTGCAGTACAGACATATATTGTCAAACATTTAACTGCAAGAAAGACCTGTTCAGAAATATTATTCTTTTTTACTTAGCAACTAACAACTCCACCAGTCATTTAATTTGAAATATTCTCCTTATTTCCAATCTGATGGTCTCCAAGGTTTCAAACACCAGTCCTTCCCTCACCCACACATTGTGCTGTTTATGAGCACAAAAGAAAGGACATACACACCACAGGGATGCTCCAAGTCTGACCTGTGTCTCTTCTGCTCAAGTCAGACTGTCAGTGATTCACTGACTTCCACAGGTGGGTAGCTCTCAGCCCAATTACAACCCAGGCTAAGACCCCCCTCCCCACTAAGCCCTGCAGACAATTCCATCATTAAATCATTGCTTCTGATCCTTTTCCTATTAGAGCTTCACAACGGGATCATCTTTAACATATTTCTTTTTGCAGTATATTTTAAGATCCTTGCCTCTCAAAGTATACAGATGAAATGCTTTCCAAGATGTTACTGTTCCATCTCTTGACAACTGTCACCATTTGCTGAGCTTGAAAATTCTGATCTTATACAAATTTTGCATATAGCGAAGAAAAAAAAAGCAATACCGTTTATAGCAGACTCTGTGCAGTCTATTGACAGAGTCCTAGCTTTGCACTACTAATGCCAGAATTCATATTACTTACAGCTTTCTCTTAAAAATTTCCAAGCACTCTCTACATTATCCTTTGCTGCTCCCTCTTCCCTCCCTCTACTGAATGAGTTTCCCACATCTGCAAAACTATTTCCCTGTCCTCCCTAAAATCCCTTTTTATTGACATCCCTCTGCTCGAGATCTTTCAAAAAACACCTTTAGAGCTGTTAGATAACCAGTATGGGGTGCCAACTGTTTATTATACATAAACAGTGTCAGCTTTAGTGTTTCATTAGGCTCTTCTAGTCTGTGTGTTTAATTTTAGCCTCCAACTTCTATGGACTATATTTTTATTTCCCTGTAGAAGTTAACACAACAGGAACCCAGTATATGACCGTGGCATGAAGGCACTACTGCAATAGAAATTATAAGCAGCACAGACATGATTTTTCAATCATACTATTTCCTAGCAACTGTGAATTATCACTTCCTTAAAAGCTGAAATGTTGATTCAGAAGTTCATTTTAGTTGCTGCTGGCAAGCATTTTGAGCTTTCTCCTACAGAGAGGTAGGATTTTTGGAGGGGGGAAGGTGGGTGTGGAAGTAGGTGTGGAGGTGTGTTTGAGTTCTTTTGCGTAGCTGCCTGCAGAAAGCAAAAGCAGTAACCTTGTTTGGTTATATTTACTCTGATGAGGAGAAGATCCTCACTATTCAGCATGTAGATGAAAATCCATGTGCTACTCTGGTCCTGTCCCTCTTGCTTGTCAGAGGACTATAAATCAGCAATATTTGAGAAGCCAGAGGGTCACTTCGGCCCTATGGAGCTACTCAACACACAGTTCAAAAGGAGATTAAAAAAAAATGCACCAAAAAACATCTTTCTTGTGTCTGAGCAAAGGACTGGATCAATATATCCTTAAAGGTGTGGAACAAAAGCAAAATCTTATTCACTTAGTCTCTGAAAGCACTTCTGCCTCAAGACATTTCATGGAGCATTTACTTGGTGGCACACAGTTTAGACTGAGCTTGATAATATATAAATGTGCTAAACTTATAAAAAAATGTGGTCCATTTCTGTGATTGATGACTTATTTCAACAAGTCCAAAATCTGCAATACACCTCGTATCTACTGCCAATCAGGGTGAAAAGGCCTGCAGCAAACATCCCAAATTAACTATTTCTGCTAAACAAAGATTTTTTTAAAATATCCATTAAGTGGTGAACAATCCAGAACCAGGCACACCCAGTGACTTCTCAATACAGAAGAGGGAAAAGGAATTGGGAGAACAAGGTGGAAAGACATTAAATAAACTAAAGAGGCAAGTACAGCTACAAAATATAATTGATAATAATAGCCTGCACATACAAAGACTTACAGCTTTTAAATAGACTTCAAAGAAACAGACTTCAATCATTATTTAGCTACCTCCACAGCTGCAGTAGGTATTTTTATCTTCTTCTCCCTCCTCAAACATGCTCAGGTGTCAAATTATATTTGGCACTTCCTAAATTCATAATCCTGTCACGTTTTGCAGGACTAGCTTTGTCTCATTCACTGTTTGCTAAACTACTGCTATTCAGAGATGCATTTTTTTACTGTAACAACACTAGAATATTTCACTGTTTAAAATTTAATGAAGCAAGGGTTCTTCTAAACTGCTGAAAGCTGGTCTGTTGCTCCCTCAGCAAAGGCAATCATCATTTTATCTCCAACTGCAATAAAATCAAAGTGCTCAAGCAAGCATTCATTTTTATTCTAGGAATATACCAAAATAAGGAGGAACCCCCCCCCCCCCCCCCCCCCCATAGTATTAGCTATATCTAATGAATAGTAATATCTGTTTATACAGACCTTGCATCTGGTAGCTATAGGGAGCCTGTCCAGGTTGAGGTGTGCTAAAGCTGGCACCGTAGCTGAGAAATCCTGTCTGTCCAGGTGACTGGGACTGTGCCAATCCACCTTCTGTCTTGATGCCTGCCCACAATGCACCTAAATCAGTTAGTGACAGCAAATCTATTTGTTCATATTCAAACAGGGATGGAAAATAAAATCACTTAATTAACAACAATTTTAACATATACCTACTATTGCCTGAGAGAACAAATATTGAGAGCATACAAAAATTAATGGGGTAAGGGCAGTCTAAGAGCACACTGAAAACTGAAGTTCACCAGGGAGAGGTTAAATTCAAAACTGTGTTTCCAATAACTGCAAAAGAAATTTATACATGAACAGGAAGTTGCTTTATTCCTTTTTTCCTTTCCTGCCAGAGGCAAACTTTTCCATATATTCATGACATTAGGCAGAGGCAGATTAGCAACTTCATATGATTTTAATGAAGCATAGCATAGCCAAGCTCTCCTGCCATCTACCCACTAATGACATAAATGAAAATTACATTGTATATTATTCCTACATGAAAATCACACAGCTCCAATAATGGTTTTTTTAAGAATTAGAAGTGGATACAGAGAATTAGCAGTATTAAGTGCAATGATGATTTTTCAAAGGTAATTAAACATTAATTCAGTTCTTAACAAATAAGCACCTAAGAGACAGGAACTGTTTCTAAAGCAATCTCCTGAACTGGGAAAAATATAGCAGAGTCATTAATCTACACTGGCAGAGAAATCCATTACACACCACATTACTCTCTCATTTCTAAATTTAGTTATAAAATAATCCAAAGTCTCATCAGTGAATGACATGCTGCCCAGTTTCAGTGATTCTTTTCTCAATTTGTAAGACAATGAGCAAGCAAATATCAGTAAGCAAAATACTGAGGAAATGCACACAATTCAGCCTCTGTCTCTTAGTTTTAATTATAAGGTTGTCCTAACATGAACTACCATTTAAAAATAATTATAGCCAAAGGAATGGAAAAGTGATACAATACTCTTAGGTTTCACTGTAGCATTCAGTGATAACTCATTGTTCAGAAACCAACAATATTTGAACTGAATTTACTAAGTGTGAATTAGTAACATTCCTTTGAAAATTACTGTTAATCTAAGTTCATTTCCTGGTTGGATTTTTCTTTAGACAATATTCAACAATGTTTCAAGGTAGGAGTGGGCTCAGAAATTATTGCATTGGCAAAACTTCAATACCTCCCTATAGACAAATGGCAGCATGTTTTCTACCATCTAAGTAATTATTTTTCAATTGTTGCCATTAATTAACCTCAATTCCTTCTGCCACACCTTCTAACTGCTGAGCTAAACCTGTTTGCTTGTTTTTCCCTCATGCTTACTTGATTCTTCTGTTTCATGTTACAATTAAGCAGTTCGAATGGCAAATGTTGACACCTCATTTCCAAGGGGAAACTCCTGCTGAGGATGGCTTGGTATCAACAATCCCTATTTGCTGTCTGTTTAAGGACTTCTGAAATGCTGATTAAATATGGCTTAGAGAAAGTTTAACTAAATCAAGCATTAAATTTCTAGTCTAAATTTCTCCTAGCAGCCTGATCCAACTCTCCATCTCAGACGGAGCAGAAGATGATCAAAAGCAGCAGTAGGAGGATGCCACTTGAGTGAAGACAACTTGGCACTGACATGCCCTTTTGCAAACCTCCATGCTATGAAGAGCTTTTCATCTCCTGGGACTTACTCTCACCCTTGCTCTCATCTCCAAAGCCTTCACTCATCACTTGGTGATCCCTTCTCCCAAGTCTAATGTACTCAAGGAAGTGGGAAGGGACAGTGACACAAGAGGACTGCCAGGATCTGGAAGGTAAAGAAATTGGTAAGCAAAGCCTTTGCTAGATGCTAGTGCTGGAGCAATCAGGAGGAAAGAGCTTCAGGAAATTCTCCAGCCTCCTCAGGGGCTTTGCAGATGAAGCAGAGCCAGGAGCCCCAGGGCAGCAGCTGTCAGTGGCATTCCCCTCCACCCCCCTTCCTGCCTGCATGGCTGTGGAGGTGGGGAGCTGGAAAAATGAAGAGGCTAGAGGTCTCTGAGACAGCACCTTCCCAAACTCTACTCTAGAGAGAAAACCTGAGGCAGGCTAATACAAAAACTCACAAATACTCTTTCTTCTAGCAGACCCAGAGTAAAGAAACAAAAAGAAAGAGGCCTCAACTCAGTTTTTTCCTTTCACATAGGCATAAGTCTTCTCCCTTTATACTGCTGTAAGATTTCTGCCTGGATGAAAGAAAGGCAAGACAGAGGGTACATGGGGTCTAAACTGCAGATCAAAGAGTAGAATTTTGGCTCTAAGCAAGGCTTCAGCTCATGCCTATTGCAAATGAGTGCCCTAATGCTCCCCAATTTCATTTGGGAGCATAGATTACATGGCATGCCTTAAATATGCAAAAAATATAAGTTAAGTCCGAAAACTTTTTAATATTTATTTGCTTTTAAATATTACTCCTGTAAAGTACATCAGCAATGAGCACCTTAGCACCAGCCACAAGGCACAAGTCTGAAAAGAACAAAACACATAAAAATTCTCTTGGCTCAGGAGCTGAGGATTTCAGTGGTCATAAGTAGCTCTGCAATGTAAAACACTGCAAATTTGTCTGAAGTCCTAGGCATGGGGGATGGACTAGGCAAAAAACCAAACCAAAACAAAAGAGCAGGCAAGCATGTTAACCCCCACAAGCAGTTGCCAAGTAAAGCAACTCTCAATTACAGCTCCGACGACAGTGAGACAGCTAAACTCAAGCAGTGAAATCAAGGCCTGGCTGAAGTCAGTGGGAATTTTAGAATTGACTTCAGTGAGGTCAGAATTTAATCCAGAGGAACCAAGCAAAAAACAAAAAAGTCACTGTTTGGGCTGCCCAAGCCTAGCAGTCAGCCAAGTATGAAGACGAGGTGTCCACAGGAGAAACAGGTCAACAAAAGCAGGGTGGGGAAAAGGGTTGTCTGTTATCATCCCCCCTGATCCAGATGGAATTAGCAGATGAGCTCCCATCAGCAACAGGAGCTCTTATTTGTGTCCAAGTCTTCCCACCTCATAGTGTAAGTTTAAAATATGAGCATTTGAACTGAAACTGAAACATCCAATAGATACTTAGAAACCTATTTTATAGTAAAAGGTAAAATAGTGCATTTCTTTTGCCTAGTCTTCACCATAATCTGTCATAGGGTATACTTGAGATCCAGTGGATTTTCAACTTGCAGACTTCAAGATGAGAGATTCACCAGTTTTGCACTTAAAACTTTTAATACTTTTAAAGTGGATAGCTTATATGGCAAGTTCTGTCCTTTTGGTATAAAACTTACATTATCTGAATGGATTTTTACAAAATATACTGCTCAAAGCATGTGGATTGTATATTTTTAATATATTCCCCCAGAGGAATATAAGACCTATTTTCTAATAATGCATCCTTGCTGCTGCACTGTTATGTGGTCTGCCAGCAGACAGTCTGGCAGGAAAATGGTCTCACCCATGGCAGCTTGTTTTTAAATTAAATTTTTTGGGAAATATTTGCTACTTAGTACTATCTTCTTCATCAGGCAGACAGAGCTTTAGTGGCAATTTACCTCAATTTTCACCTCCAGGGAGTTTTAAACCATTGGAAAAAGAGGGGTTTTTTTTTTGGATGGAGGCACATTGAATCAGTTTTTTTGCCTTCTGAAAATCAGCACAGCCTTGCAGATTCATCTGGGTTCTAGTAATCTGTACCAGCTGAAATTCAGACTTTTACACCCTGCTGTAACCTCACACACTGCTGGGGAGCAGAGCCCTGAGCGAGTCGCCAGGGGCTGGGTCTGTGTCATGGAAACCCTGAGATCTCTTTTCCCATTTCACTGCTGCATTTTTGATGTCACCAACAAGAAGCTAATGATGAGCCTCTCCTCACAACCCCAATATGGGTTTATTTTCTTGAGTACCTTTTTAACTCTTTAATACATAAATTAAACATCACTCATTCCAAGGTGAGAAAATTAACAGCCCTTCACAAGAAATGCTCTAGAGCACAGCTGTCCCACTAAGCACTCACCTAAGGGTCACACAGGCTTGATCTAAAGGAAATTTACCTCAGGAATAAAAGATCCCAGCCGGGATTTCTTACCATAGGAAGGGATTCCGTAGGGCTGGCCAGGCTGGGGGTAAGTGGCATAGGCTGTAGCTTGCTGCATTCCCGCTGTAAACTGCGTCTGCCCATAGGCAGCCATCGCTTGTGAAGACGGGGTAGGGAGAATATGTGGGTAGGGTCTGCTATTGATTACAAGTGACAGAAAATAGGACAGACACTCCATTAGACAGACACGCATGTACTTATTTTTAGCCTTATTATAATCCTGCTGCTTCATTAACACATAATCATAGGCTGTGCTAGACAACGGAAACTTTAAGAGACAAAATAAGGAAGAAATAATAAGAATAATAGAATAATAAAGAAACAATAAGAAATTGATAATAAAAGAATAAGTGAAATACGAACTTTACAAATATTTTTCAAATACATTCTTAGCATTTAATTTTTTTTTTCCTTAGAAGCTGCTGCAGTGTAAATTATGGCTTAACAGATGGACTCAATTATTATTTTAAATGAGGTTAAAATCTGCCTATTCCAGTTATTATTATTACTACTACTATTATTATTTTAAAAAGATATCATACTTGGAAGGGTAAATCTGTGGTGGGGAGAACTGGTGTGTTTGTCTTGGGCTGAAACCACTGCTTCCAATTGCTGCACCAAGGAGAAAAGAAAGCATACAGAAGTGTAAATACACACACCAAAGATAAATATTATTTTTCCTAATAGAATTTCAGAGAATTAACATGACTTTAATTAAATTCAAATATCATTGATACCTTAGATAGAAAATAATATTTTATGAGGAACTATACAGGAATGCTTAACATTAAAATCTTGATCGCAAATCTCAAATACTAAATTGCCCCTTTGTACAATTCCTGAGCCACAGTTTATTCTTTGGTTGAACACAGGCAACATTTACAATGCAAACAACCTATTTCCTAATGGAAACATTTCCCTTCATATTTTCAAAGGATTGCTGATATCTCAAGTGCAACATTTTATTAACTTTTAGAATTTTTAAGACCTACATTTTATGAAGGAGCTTTATGCGTGCCTCGATTGAAAACACATGGCCCGCTTCAGAGCACGTGCCTCTTTTAAAAAAAAATAATTCCTATTACAGACTATGTATTACCTTATTACACTTCTATTTTCTTCCCCTTATCTGCTGTCTAAAATGCTTTCAGCCCTTCAAATCAGTATTGCAGAAGGCTGTCCACTGCTAATGGAACAGGTGAGCGGAGGAGGCTGCACCGCGAGCCGCTCCCCGAGCAGCCCCAGCACAGCTCGCCCCGGTCAGCATCTCTGGGCGCTGCTCAGAGCGTGGCAGCTCTGCTGGCCTCCTCTGCTCAGGATGATATTTTTGGGAGCCTTTCCCTCTCTGGTTGCTCTCTGGGTGTCACTTCTCTGCTCGGTCCCAAGGGTGGGCTTGGGAGCCTTTGCCAGGAAAGGGTCAGCAGCAGGTTATGAGACTACTGTAAGATCAGAGAGCCCGAGAAACAACAGGCCTTATTGCTAAGTGCTTGGAAATAAACAAGGCACACATAATTACCCCTCACCAGCTACCCCCTTCCTGGCCAGCTACAGGGAAAATCCATCATCTTTACACTCTGGGAGGGAAGCAGGGAGTCTCTTTCTGTGCCTTCTACATCCAATAATTTTTCTTTTCTGTGGCCTGTGAGGCTGCAGACATGCCAAGCGTTACACTCCAACCTTTACTCAGATCACCACAGATGGATGTAGCTACAATTAGGTACAAACTGTATTTTCTTCTTTCAGAGAATTAAAATACCTTAGAAACCTTTCTTTGGGCTTTCAGGCTTGATGCTTTCAAACTCAATAGCCTGTGCAGAAAATGGAGGCTGTGACAAGACTAGAAAAGGGCTTGTCAGACCAGGAGTCTGACTGGTTGTGAGATGTCAAATTTTGCTACTACTGAAATGTAATCCCACAATATAGTATTAGATCCTTTTCTGATTTTATTTGCACCATAAAACCAATGTGCTAGAAATACCACAGTTAGTCCACAGGTGTGCAAAACTGAGCAAATACCTTAGCACCTTAGGTTTTTCTCACAGTGTTTGTATCCTGTATGTCAGAAGCTAAGATGCATTTGGCTTCCTCTAAGAAAAGAAGCCAGGCAAAAGAATGAATACTTTGGTAATAATAAATTACAATAAGTGAGGAAGACCTACCCCCCAGTTAGAATAATAACCACAGAGGCATGTATGTTTATTCACAGAAAACAAAAAGTAATTACTTTGGGCCAGAATACTCCCTAGTGAGACTCCCACCAAAGACATCAATGGACGTTAATAAGCCTGATACTGTAATGCTCCTTACTTGGGGAAAACTCCTGTTGACTTAGACTAAAGTGTACAGAAATTGGCAAAAGATGGAAAGTACAAAAGGCTTTTTAAGAGAGGTGCATAGGTTTAGATTACATGGGATAAGAAAATAATAAATGAAAAAATGCTGAGCTTAAGAATTTTGTTTATTCCTTACCTGATCCTGAGAAATTGTCTAAAGACCCGTCTGTGGTAGTAGTAGTAGCGATCTCACTGCTGTTCATTGGTTCTGTTTTAACTATAGAAATATAAACAGAAGATATTCTATATGCTCCTAATACTCTTGCAGGCACATGCACACACACTCACTACAAACACAAACTCAATAAAGCAAAAATCTGCCAAAAATGTTCTAAATCATGGCTATCCATATTTTGCATTTGATGTATTTGTGTATACAAACAGTGCAAAATACTGGCAGCTATGATTTACACATAAATATAAGATGATCAATAGGGTTATTCCTGTCCCCAAGGAATAAGAGCCACTGTAACAAACCAGAAGTCCCCATGCAACTCTCTGCACCTGTCCTGATTCCTCTTAATCCTACAGACCCAACAATAAGGATCCACATTTAGATCAGGTCTCACAGCATTTACAGACTTGAAAGACAGCAAATTGAATAAGACAAAAGAGGAAATAATTTTTAAATGGTTTTCGCCGAGGGCTGTTCAAATTTTGCTTCCAATTAAATAATTTTTCAGAGGAAAATTAAGGATTTGTGATGAAGTAAAACACTTTTCTTGTGGTGGATTTCTCCTCTCAAAATGAAAACCAACTTTATACTCAACAACCCTGAATAAAAAAAAAAGAGGACACAGTCCTCACCAAATACTTCAAAGAATGCTTTTACATTTTATCCCTCTGTACCCACAACGTAACACAGCTGTCTGAGCGTAAAAAAGAAACAGACCAAGAGATTATTGCCTGGCTCATGCTGATTCATAATCAATAATCAAATAATGACTTTTAATAAAACCTCAAGTAAAAAACAATTTCCCTTTCTGTCACTCCAGTGCAACAATTTCCCTTTCTGTCACTCCATTGCAAAGTCTGTAATGTTAAGATCAGGACAGTATCCTGATCCAAAGAGCAAGGATGGGGCTGACTTGGCATGGATGCAAAATAGGCACCAATAGCTGCTCTCCATACTGTTTGTCTATATATGTGTGTTCAGGACTTACAGCCATCCCTAGCAGAAACCTTTGGTACCGAGTTTGAAAAGGGTGAGGCAGAGGCACTTCCCTCTTTTCACAAAAGACCTTTCCTTTCATTGTCAGTCCACATTCCCACATTCTTATTTCTGCATGTCTTATTTCCTTCACCAAGCCTCCTCCATGGAATTTGTAAGAAATCTCTCAAGATTTTACTAATTGCCCAGTATTTTCTTTTGTCTCTCATACATGATTTCTGCCTGCCAGCTTGGGAGGTCAATGCTTAGCTGCACACAAAACTCTGCTGTGTCTGCATTAACAAGCAATGCAGTCCATTTAGGAAAGTTTCATGAAGTGAAATGGTTGGGGCAGAGGGCCCAGTGTCCAGACGTTGGGAATTTTTGAGAGCATTTATTCAGCTTGAGAACATGAGCTGCACTTCCGCAAAGCAGCTTTTTTGAAACAAGCGAAGTCCAAGAGACTCCCTAATGGGAATTAACATGGTAAGAAAAGGTGGCCACGAGGTTCACTCCAAAAGTGTGCTCATTATTTGAACCCTAACTCCATTACAAAGGTATTACTTAAAAACACAGCATGTAAGTTATTCACCATCCATTTAGTGACTAAATACTGAAAGTCTAACACATAGATACAATGAAATATTTATTGCAGAGTGTCTATCATAAGTAATTTTTCAGAAACATTTTTTACAGCCTGTTCTACAGTTTGTCAATCTAAATATGAAAAATTATAGGATCTACATTATCTTCTGCCTCTTCTTAAAAGTTATCACAGTTACATTTTACAGTCAGACTCATGCTTCTTTCATAGACTACTCCAAGTTTCCCCAGAATCTGCAAGTCTTCTGAACCTAATTTCCATAATGCAATTGTACTTTGGGAATAACAATGAAAGACGCTTTCCTCTATGCTGGTATCTGTGGTGAGGAAAAAGAGAGGAAGATAAGACAGATCCACCTAACCTGGAGTAAAGGGTGGAATTTTTCAGTATATGCTTTCTCCAAACTCTTCTATATTGGAGAAACAATATTCCATATTCTTCATTTTTGGATCACTGCAAATTAGCAGTCTGAGGACTACGCTGAACTGCCGCACATAGTATAGAGAAGTATAGTGTCAGTTGTTCTAAATAAAAAGCAGCCCTTCTGAAAAGGACTTGGGATTTCTGGAGGATGAGAAGTTAGGTGAGAGCTGGAGATGTCCATTTCCAGCCCAGAAAGCCCAACTGCATCCAGGGCTGCATCAAAAGCAATGTGGCCAGCAGGGAAGGGAGGGGATTCTGCCCCCTGCTCTGCTCTCTGAGGCACTGCTGGGAGTCTTGCATCCAGCACAGGAAGGACATGGAGCTGTTGGAACGAGTCCAGAGCAAGGACACCAAGATGACTGGAGGGGTGGAGCATCTCCCCTGCAAGGAAAGCCTACAAGAAAAATGGAGAAGGACCTTTTCCAAGAACATGTAGTGTCACGAAAAGGGAGAATGGATCCAAAGGGAAAGATAGTAGGTTTAGAGTAGATATCAGGAAGGAATCCTTTACTCTGAGGGCAGTGAGTCACAGGTTGCCCAGAGGAGCTGTGGCTGCACCATCACTTGAAATGTACAAGGACAGGTTGGATGAGCCTCTGAGCACCTATTTGGACCATTGTTTAAGATACCATTTTCAGAAAAACATTGTCAAAATGTAATTTCCATTTCTATGACTAATGAGCAATACTTCTGTGCAACACAGTTTTAAACTGAATGCTGTATGCTACACATACTACTTTTAAAGGTACAGGAAAAAAATTAAATACAGTGCAGTGCATCTTCATGGGAAGGAATTCTAGTTGCTGACTGAGGTGCTCACCAATTTTTCATTAAAATGTTTTGTTTTCTCTTCTCAGCTTCAATCTCCCAAATATAAAAAAAAACCCCCAGGATATAAGAAAGAATATTCCCATTATTCCTGGATCCCTGGATCTGGATACCTTGGGTGATAACAAATATGCCCTAGAATGCTGTCTTTAGAAACAACCACAACCTTAATGAACCTTTGTGTCACAGATAGCTGGGAATTTAATAAAGATGAATAGGTACTGAAAAACTTTTCATTCCCCAAGCATTTTAATCAAAATGCCTGAAAATTGCTGCATATTTCCTTCTATCAGCTTAAGCACATTTAAGAGGATAAAATCTTCCAATACATAGAAATAAACTGAGAAGAATAGCCATGGGTTTGCCTGTTGGAAATATTTACATGTTCTCTTACTGCAAAGGAAGGTCTCTTGTTTGTCCAAGGCAAAACTGACCTACCACGGAGCATATTTCACCCCAGAACCAGAGGGAAAGAGAACTGCAAAGGGACTGCCTAAGAACACAAGTCTCACAGTCTATCCCAGCAGCACATGAGTCATCTATAAAGAGAGACATATGGAGCTGTCCAAGGAAGCCAGGCTTTGGGCGGGCACAGATCTGGCCCTGCCATGTGCTGCTTACGGGTGCTCTGGAGCTCAGCTCCTCACATTTTCCATGGCAATTAACATTTCTGTGACATGTCCTAAGCTTTCACAAGATGACACAGGGAAATGAGTGGGAATATTGCCACATCCAGACAACACATAGTGCAAGCTTGCCAGTAGCAGCCAACACCATGCTCAGTTGTGGCAGAAACTGTGGAAAGTGACACAGGAAAGCTCCCATTTCTGCTGCTCCTTTATCAAAACTGACCTTCACAGAGGTGCAGAATCATCAGACTTGAATTCTAGAGACAGACTCTGATTTAGCAATGTACTACTAAGTTTTAGTGCCACCCAAACCACTCATGTAATAGATTAGAAGTTCAAGAAGTACACTAATGTCTTTTTAACCTGCTGCAAAAAGTTAGTGTTTATTTAGAACTAGTGATTTAGATTTGGTTTATATATCAAGCAGCTTAAGAAACTATGTCAACAAAGAGATTTTTTTCCCCTCATTTTTTGCTTGTAGTAATTTTTGAGATTCTAAAAATACTTTAAAAGAAACTGTGTAAGTAAACACACAGAACAGTTGAAAAAATAGGAGTAGCAGATAATAGCACAAATGCTAGCTTGGAGAAAAAAAGCAAAAAAATTCATACATGTCACAACTGCTAGTCTAATATTATATAGATTGCTAAGATTTTTCTTCTAAAGGAACTCAGAGATTGCAAGTGCAATGTACCCTGTTTTGTCAGCTGTATAGCCAAAGGTGGTTAAAAATTACTTACATGGCAGTTTCTGAACTCTATTGAGAGAGAGAACTTCAGACCAGAACCCACAAGTTCATGTGGTTCACTGGCCAAGTAACAACTTTCTGAGTTCACAGCTTGTCATGCAGTTCCTGGTATAAATATCAGTAAAATGTTGTGAGGAATGAGATGCTGGCTATTTTAAATAAGGATTTTGAGACCTAATATTTGGCTACTTCTAGCACAGAAATTGTAGGAATACTTCATAAAGATTTGCACATTCAAGCAAAAAGTAAGGTTTTAAAATATCTTTTAAAAGAATTGCTTTTATTACATTAAATACATATAAGGCTTGCTCTATTGAACTCATCTTTGTTAACAGCTACGCCATATGCATTAAATCAGAATAGAAATATTGCAAACATGTCAGACATTAAACAGGTTTTAATTTTGCAGTTTTAAGATTGAATTAACACCATGATGTTATATTCTTTGTATTTTACAAAAAAAGTGGGAAAAATTAAATTATTCTTGGCTGACAGCTCTCATTGTTCATGGGCTACAAGAGACTCAACAAAGTGTGGTAGTTATTTTCTTTATAGACATACATAAAAACACAATCTCTTGACCTATTTTGGCTGGCATCTTCAAATAACAGTAGTAATTAAACACCATGTAAGTCTTGATTAAGTGCTTTATGTATAATCAATTGCTATTCACACACTGTTTTGCTTGACATCATCCTCTTTCTGTACTCACTATAGAAGCCCAAAGTTCACCCAGAAGCACAAAGATAATTTTTACTAACAAGACAAAAATTCTATCTTGAACCTCTAAGCTGATTAGATTTCCCATTATTTTATTCAAACAACCCTCTGTTTG